TCCCCCCATTGTAGTAGTATTTTGTGTCTCTGAAATATTTTGGTGTCTTTTTGGTCATTTTGTGTCTCTTTGTGGTTGTTTTGTCCCTTTTTATAGATATTTTTGTGTTTATTTGAAATAATTTTGTGTCTTTTGGGGTCATTATGTGTCCCTGAAGTAACTTTGTGTCTCTATTTAGTCATTTTGTGTCTCTTTGTAGTTGTTAAGCCCCATTTGGTAGTTATTTTGTGTTTCTTTGAAAACATTTTGTGTCTTTTGGGATCAATTTGTGTACTACTACTGTGCTAATCCCCATTAGCACCAGCAACAGCATCGGCTATTCTTACTTTCTTGTGGTTATTTTTTGTCTCTTTGAAGGAACTTTGTGCCTCGTTTTGGACATTTTGTATCATTTTTTAGTTGTTTTGTCCCTTTTTGTAGATATTTTTTGTTTATTTGAAATAATTTTGTGTCTTTTGGGGTCATTTTGTGTCCCTGAAGAAATTTTGTGTCTCTTTTTGGCCTTTTCGTGTCTCTTTGTGGTTGTTCTGCCCCTTCTTGTGGTTATTTTGTGTCCCTGAAGTAACTTTGTGTTTCTGTTTAGTCATTTTGGGTCTCTTTGTAGTTGTTAAGCCCCTTTTTGTAGTTATTTTGTGTTTCTTTGACAACATTTTGTGTGTTTTTGGGTCAATTAGTGTCCCTGAAGAAACTGTGTGTCTTTTTTGGCTCTTTGTGGTGGTTTTTCCGCCTGTTGTAATTAATTTTATGTGTCTTTGAAACAACTTTGTGTCTTTTTGGTCATTTTGTGTCTCTGTGGATCTCTTTGTGTCTTTTTGTGGTCATTATGTCTCTTCCTGGTTGGTATGTGTTAATTTGACTGACATCTTGCAGGGAAACACCAGGACATCCTGACACTTTAGGATCCTGGACCTGTGCCCAATAGGCCTGTTCAGTAACCTATCCATGCATGATGTCATATAAAGTATTATACTATACATAAAATTTAAAATACTGTATATTATATCCTGTTGTTCAAGAAATAATCTGTGAGAATATTAAGAACTCTGAAGCCGTGGAATAAAAGTCTGAGTATAATGAATGAAACCAAAGAATATGGAATGAATCTGCTAAATGTAAAAGCAGTGCAGGCTCCATGCTGTCATCTTTTTGTTGACTGTGTAAACTGTGTTTATGTGCAGTTTTATCAGTTTGTAAATGAGCCTATACGAGACCGAAAAACATTAAGTAAGCACTCTGGTATCCAACTTGAAAAGAAATATAATGAAAGGATTGTATTATCTTAAATTGCGAGTTTTACTGATGCTAAAATAGTAATTAAAGCAGAGAAATTATCCACCACTCCCTAAAAGATGCTGGGTTTGGAAAAATGTTCTGTTTGTCTCCTTAACTACCCTTTTAGTTTGGGTTTGGTTTATTTCTCTGGGCCACACATTGGCCTAAAAACTAGTTGTTCTTTATGCGATTGTTGCCAGGAAAATTCTCAACAGTGTGACCTTCAGTTTTCAACTTTAACTTTATTGTGTCCAGGGGGAAATTTGTCTCACAGCCAGGTAAAACAATACAAAGACTTGAAGATAAAACATAAAAAAACCATGAAGCTGTTATGAACTCGAGGGAAACCCAAGCGTGGGACACAGGGTGGAGATGATGAAAAGGTTTATTGTCACAGGCTGGCGTGGTGTGCACGTGAAGCTGGACGGCAGGAGAGTGATGATCCACTGTTGAAGAGCCTGAGTAGAAACGCTGCATGCTGCTGAGCTGATGAGGCAGGTGTGGTTGATGAGCTGATGGCAGACAGGTGAGTATAATGAGCAGAGCCAGGGCCCAGGGAGGGGGACCATGCCCACGCCAGCACACGGACAAAACTAAACAGGGGGAGGAAGACAGACAGACAGGAACACGGGGAGGGGAAACACAGCAGTGCCATAACAGAAACATATTACAAAACATGTTAAGATATATGAGTTTCCATACTGCTGTACCATTTAGTAAGGCGGAAGAAGATTTAGTATGCCAAATACAGCATGCCAAAAATACCAGGATGTCCTTCAGGATATAAGGCTGTCTGAGTCACTGGCTTCATTTAAGTCATACTTTTATCGTAAAGCATATCCTGACTTTATCTGAGCTGTCTGTCTATTTTATGCTATCTTACTGATTTTGATGACCTTTTATTATCTTGATATCCTTATTTTATCTTTTACTGCATGACATGCTATTTGTTTTATTCTTCTTGTGTTTTAATTGTGTTTAGTTTCGTTGTACAGCACTTTTTAACTGTGTTTTGAAAGGTGCTATATGAATAAAGTTTATTATTATTGTTATTACATCCAGTCGCGTTTTGCAGTATGAAAGCCAGCATGCTTTCCTGGCTATTCTGACCCTCTGTGCAGTGGAAGATACGTCACATTGACTGAGTTGCAGACAGATGACAGCTCAGCTAACAGCTAACAGAAGCTGCAATGACGGATGTCAAGTGATGGTGACTAGTGGTGTAGTGGCAGGTATACACAGTAAGGCTGAGCTGAATACTCGGATAAAATGAGTATCTGGTACAGATAATGTACTTTTGACAAGTACGAGTATTATACAAGTATCTGTCCTCGTGATGTGAGAATTCTCATTTTCTTAGCTGTGTTTAATCTGTTACTCTTGTGATAAAAAAAAATGTTCTGATGCTCAATTCTGAGGCTCAAAATAACAACTTCTGATTAGGCGCCGTGAATGTGTCAGAGTCTACAATGTATGCAGTTATTACTGCCTGTAGAGAAAGCAAAAGAACAGCAGCTGTGCTGTGAAGGAAGAGGGAGGGAGGGAAGTCTGCTGGAAGGTGGTGAGCTTCATATCGGTGTGGCTCGTGAGGTAAATGACGACCCTCTGCCTTGACCCACATCCTGTAACAGAAAGTACAGCCAGGAAAACAGGCACACCTAGTGGAGCGGATGGGTCGTCACTGTCTCCAAGGTAACCGTCAGTGATATCATTAAGAAATAGGGTCAAAGCTCGAGGTGCAGTGTTATTGGTGCAGTGTTAGTATGTGCCAGTTGTATGAATACTTCATGCAACACTATGTATTTTGTAAGGGCAGCTGCAGTATGTTCTGAAAGTAAGAAGATAAAGTGGGGTCTGAACATCGGGGACATCAGGACATGAAACCTGCTGTACAGGATTTGGCTAATTTGACATATCTCATACAAATGGTGTCAGTGTGGTCGTATGATCAGGTTTGAGTTTGAGAGTTTCTCAAACTTTCATCCATCCATACATTTCCAACCACTTACCTGAAGCCGGGTCACTGCTGCAGCAGGCCGAGCAAAGTCCTCCAGACGTCCCTCTCCCCAGCAACACTTTCCAGCTGCCCCTGGGGGACCCTGAGGTGTTCCCAGGCCAGATGAGATATGTAATCCCTCCAGAGTGTTCTGTGTCTGCCCCAGGGCCTCCTACCAGTGTGACATGCCCATAACACCTCCAACGGGAGGCGCCCAGGAGGCATCCTGATCAGATACCCGAACCACCTCAACTGACCCCTTTCGACACGAAGGAGCAGCAGCTCTACTCCGAGCTCCCTCCAGATGTCTGAGCTCCTCACCCTATCTCTAAGTCTGAGCCCAGCCACCCTTCTGAGGACACTAATTTCGGCCGCTTGTATCCACAATCTCATTCTTTCGGTCACTATCCAGAGCTCATGACCATAGGTGAGGGTTGGGATGTAGGTGGACCAGTAAATCGAAAGCTTTGCCTTCTGGTTCAGCTCCCTCTTCACCACGGTGGTCCAGCATAGCGCCTGCATCACTGCAGACACTGTGCCGGACCTCTGATCCATCTCACGCTCCATTCTACCCTGACTCATGAACAAGACCCTGAGATACTTGAACTCCCTCGCTTGAGGCGTAACTCTCTCCCAATCCAGAGGGAGCAATCCACCATTTTCCAGTGGAGAACCATGGCCTCAGATTTGGAGGTTCTGACTTTCATCCTGACCGCCCGAACCAACCCAGTGCATGCTGGAGGTCCAGAACCACGTCATCTGACTGGTTTGGTAACTTTTATTCATTCTCAGTATTTTCTTTTCAATTGTCTTTGAACTAGTTTGTGTCCTTTGTGAATGGCTTCTGTCTTCGGTCCCTCACTGACTGCGCCAGTGTTTCTATTCCTGCCTCTAATCACATTTACAGCACTGCTGGCTCATGCAGATTGTGATGCCGCACAGCGAACACAAGGTAATGTGTAAGGTCAAGTCAAGATGGTCAATTGCCTTAATTGAATCTGAAGTCCTCCTCGACTCAGCACAGTTATTCATTCACGCTCCTTCACTCGTCTGCGAGGGAACAATCACACAGTGTTATTGTTGTCCAGAAGATTTATTAAAACACATTGAACAAATACACAGAATACAAATAAAAAGATGACAATTCACTTGTTCATTCAATTGCTATACAGCACAAATATCAGAACCATAACACTGCTTGGAGCTCATTGTCTGTAAATGCTAGATACACTACTGCCTCCCCAAAGTGAACCGTCATATCAAACGCTTCACATGCTGTGCATTCACTGCAACAAAGGTGCCTTTTATCAGGGTCTTTTGGTAGCTTTTGAAGCCATGTTAATAAGCATGTACATACATTGTTAACATATTTATAATATTAGACTGAAGCCTTTTTTTTCTAACAGACATTACATTCATACCGACTTCAGTTTGATTGCATTTCATTGGAGTATCGTGTTTTTGACGTCGTCTCGTGGTCGTCACTCCAGAGGGCAAAAAGGACATGATTTTTGATTAATGAGCACATACGGTGCACTCTGCAGTTCTATGGCAACACCATCCAGCAGACATTCATCTTTTTTTTTCAGTTTGATACATAAATCTGTACGAGATGGACTTATCTCTGAAAAAATCTTTCAAGTATTTACATGTTTCTGAGGTTCTATCTGTCAAGCAACCTAATACATGTCATGGTCAAGTAGTCGATGGCATGAACAGAAACACAACGAAGAAAACGGCACTGATAAACACTAACAAAGAAGAGCGCAAAAAGCTGATATGATGCACTTCAAGGTTCATTTCGTGGTGCTTTAAAAAAACAGTCCGATAATGTGCTGAAACTGAATTTTTTAGTTGTTGAGTTAAAGCATGTTGTCTGATGGGAGAGGGCAGGGTCGCGGTAACACAATCTGTGTGGGGGGGGGGGGTCAGAAGAGAGCACCTCAGGACAACCATTTGAAGTTGCAAAAGGAGAGTAAGAAAATACACTTGCCAACTCTGTACAACACTCTTCAGTTTAGATGAGTCCAATCACAATCGTCAGTCCAACAATGTCAAATAAGTGCTGTCAATGGCTATAATAATACAAACAGGTAATGCCACTGGTCTTTGGAAAAAAGAAAAGATAAATATGTCAATAACAATTTGCACTTTGAGTCCAAACATTCGAGCAACGCCTTCGTAGAAAAGGAAATATAGTAAGCTTGAATTTATAAAATATCGTCTTACTTATGTGGACGGCCACTTCAGCACATCATAGATGGAATGGACAAGATATGTAGGTATACCATGCTAACGTGTCTTCACACCAGGTAAAGCAATAGGCAACAACGTACACTCTTAAAAAGAGCCCAAACAGAACTGACTGGAAGTGAAGACGTTATCTAAAGAGTAACGCTGTGCAACATTGGTCCTTACTGTAGAAGCTGATGCACAGAAAATATTCCTGCAGATGTGTGTTCAGACTGTGACACTACTAGTGACGGTTAGGGCTGGGCAATACATCGATATTAGGAGACTAGATATCGTCTTAGATTTTAAATATCATAAGTGTTGTGTTTTCCCGGTTTTAAAGGTCAGGTGTGTCGATTTAGGGGGAGATACTGGCAGAAATGGAATATAATAAGCATGTTTTCTTTAGTGTATAACCAACTGTTTTCGTTACCTCTTGGCCTAAATACATGAGACATGGTTGTGAGGTGACATGCTGCAGCATGTAGCAGAGCACCTCATTGTTTCAGAGGCAATGTGAAGCACCAGAGCAACGTTGTGTGTGTTGTTACATTCCACATTGCTTTGCATGGCTTCTGCTCTATCTTGACAGTTTCTGTTTGCTGTTGTTACTGCCGTCTTATGTCTTTATGCTGTCTTTGTCCTGTGAGTTTGATCCTTTTATTGGTTTCAAAAGATCTTGCCAAACGACTGCAGTTAAAAATTAGCCAGCTGGCTAACACTTGCACATTTCCAGAGGTGTTGATTAATGTGCATTGTCCTTATAAATAAATGAAATCAATGCATCCATGATCCAAAACCTCCAGGTAATTAATGCGGCACTGGTTAATATAGCTTCCAAATCCTGTGTAACCAACTGCATTAGCACTTGACAAAACTTAATACACACACAACGAAGCTGGCAGCGATCACACACTGTAAATACAGAGCAGGTTAAAAACACAGCTTCTCTACCCCTATGTGATGCATTGCGTCTGTGCTTTGTGCCGCTAGAGTGAGTCATTTATAACTACACAGTCAGCAGGTACTTGTTTATGGAAATCGCCAGGGTGAACTGCCAGTTTTAGTTTTGCACGTCATTTTTTGGAAAAGGAAGAGACCTGTGGGAATTATTCAGCTCCCGGTTAAAATCACCTGATCATCTGGATCTAAGTTATCAGAGAAAAAAGGTGAGCATACATTAGCGGCCCATCTATGACCGGAGAATCACTGATTTGTTACTTGAAAATGCTTCGTTCAGTGATGTCACTTGTTTTAATCATCTAGTCTGTTTGTTTTCGAAAGGAAGAGACCTCTGTGGATAATTTGGCTCCTGATAAAAACCTCCTGATTGTCTGGATCTTAAGTTATCAGAGAAAAAAGGTGAGCACACATAAGCAGGTGCTGGACTAGCGGCCCATCTACGACATGCCAAACGGCATCGGAGAAACACTGATTTGTTACGTGAAACTGCTTTATTCAGTGTTGTCACTGGTTTTAATCACCTGGTCTGTTTGTTTTGGAGAGGAAGAGACCTCTGCGGATAATTCGGCTCCTGGTAAAAACCTAAACAATGAACACTGAAGGAATTCTAACCAGGAGAAGGTTCGGCTGGTTGCTCACGACTAGATGCCACTAAATCCCCCTAATTCTTACACACACTGAACCTTTAAAAGATGCATTACAGTAAAGTGATGTCAGACTGTTCTCACTGTTCTGTTTTTGCCTTTAACCACATGGTAATTTTATCCAAATTGCTGATTATTATTAATCAAAAATCACATTGTGTAAATATTTAGTGAAAGCACCGATACTCCACCCTACAGTACTGGTGAAATATTGTGATATTTGTCTCCATATCGCCCAGCCCTAATGACAGTCTCCACATCTGTGCAGGAAACACACTGCATAAATGAACAAATCATACTGGATCGTCTTCTTTAATGGCACCAAGTGACCAAACACGTCTTATTTTACCTCAACATAAAGAGAAGCAAACAAAAGCTCATTTTGCGACAAATACTAGACTCAAAATGACACTGCGCCAGAAGCACATATGTTCTTACTCGGTTCTAACAATGAAAGGGAGCTGGGAAAGTCCCTGGGATGTACGTAAAATAGCCACGCTCCACTCCAGGACTCTGTTGTCAGTTAGGCCTGAACATTAAAGCCCTGTACAGTATGTGGATGTAGACCAGATGAGTTCCTGTTTATAGTGCAGTCCCACTGGTCATGGCCCCAGGGTTAAGCTCTACAGCCACTACTAACATTCAAATATAATAAGAATCACAAATATTGTACCGTACACAGAAATACTCAGTCTTCTCTGAAATGCGTTTAAAAATCATTTTTGCCACTCCTGCAGCTTTTTCTCCTCTGCTCGATCTTCACATACGATGGCAAGGCTCAAGGCTTCTGATTTCATCCATGTATGTATACATATTTTCACTATGATTAGACCTATGTGAGGTAAAATAAACAGCAGTCTCTGAGTATATACAGTACAAGAAGCCAACCCTCGGAGGTTACTGGTGCTGCAGTCGAGTGTACCTGCAGATTTTGAGGAGATTACTTTCTCCAGATGACCAGCGGGTGGCAGTCTTTAGAGGATTCAGACAGACTGTGTCCAGCTACTGCATACATGATAGTAGTTTTTGATGCTTTCAAATCAATACTTTATCCACTGGTTACTACATGAATGACAAAACACATATTCATTTAAAGTAACAATATTGGCCCTCAGAAAAACAACCTCCTATCTGACTATGACTGAAGACGTCCTTAACTCCTCCTCACAGGGAACAAGCTCCAGAGGGGCACAGTCACAGTGTACAGTGAATAGGCAGATGGTTAAAAGCAACGGGGCGCACACAGGATGAAAACGTAGAGTCTGGCGCGATCAAAACACACATTCCAAGATTAGAATGAGCCGCAATCAAGAGCGTCAGGAAACTCAGTCATGCCGACTCGCTTGAGTTTCCCCTCGTAACGCGGGGCTGAAAATAAAAATCCTCTTTCAGAACAGCTGCTTCATTTTCCCTCCTTATCCTCAGCTCTCCAGCACAGGTCAACAAAAGCAAAATATCTACTGAAATACTTCTATAGGATCCTCGAAAGATAAAAGTGCAATTGTTAAGATAGATACATCTGTATTAATCAAAAAGTGAATCGCCTTAGAGAGCTTGACTCTGTAGATTTGAAGTCAGGAAGGAGCAGGAGAAAGAGGAGGATGTGGTGAAGGAGATGGGCAGCTGTCATCCTTACAGATTCCATCCCTGGGAGTTTTCTGACCCTCGGGTCGGTTTTGCAGAGCTGGCCTAGTCCTCGATACAGATGACATCACTAGGTTTGCCTGACTTGAGGTCAGGGGTCGCTACGTCTCTCAAGGAGTCGAGTGACTTCTTGTCCAGATGGCTTGAAGGGGGTGGAGGGCCGTTAGAGGACACTGAGGAGGAATGAGATTTAAGATTTTAGTTGTTCATTTTAACTCTGTAAATATCTGTGTTTGACATCATGACATATCTTACTATATAATAACAAAAATGACGAAATCTGTGTGTCTGTCTGTTCCACGTTTTTCTCCTCACTGACTTGGTCAATCCATGTGAAATTTGGCACAGTGGTAGAGGGTCATGGGAGGATGTGAATGAAGCAATATTACATCAACTGGCCAAAGGGGGGGCGCTATAGCAACCGATTGAAATTGCAAACTTTGAATGGGCATATCTCATGCCCCGTATGTCGTAGAGACATGAAACTTTGCACAAATTTGCTTCAAGAACCCATAACTTCCGGTTATATAGATTTTCCGCCATTTTGAATTTTTTGAAAAACACTTAAAGTCAATATCTTCCTAGGAAGTTTGTCCGATCTGCATGAAACTGGGTGAACATAATCTAGGGACCAATATCTAAAGTTCCCTCTTGGCAAAAGTTGGAAAACTTACTAAAACTGAGCTTCTATAAGGCAATGAATATTGCGGAGGGTGTGGCTCATCACATAAAGGTGTATAACATCTCAAGGGTTTCACCCATCACCACGCAACTTTGTAGGCATATGACCACACATAATCTGAGGGGACCCCTCCATTATTGACCCCATCAAACAAAATGGGGGCGCTAGAGAGCTAATTTCTTATCTAGGCCTAACTGCCATATGGATTTTTACTAAACTTGGTAGATATGTAGAACAGGACGCCTCAAGGTGACTGGAGAAATTTAACTCTAATTGGCAACTGGGTGGCACTATAACAACAGAAAAATGCTTAAAAATGGCTAAAATGTGACCGATCGCTGTGGCTCCCCCTGTGGACCAATGTTTGTTTTTTCTAATTTTTGGTATGACTAAGTCATGGTATGGTATGCTGTACATAATCACGGAAACTGTCAGTCAGTCATTCTGTCTGTCAGTCATTCTGTCTGTCCCACGTTTTTCTACTCACTGACGTGGTCAATCTATGTGAAACTGCACATAGGCATTGAGGATTGGCATAGGTAGAAGGTGACAAAGCTACCAATGGGTATGGAGTAGTTAAATGTGATTCAGTGATTTTCAAACAGAACAAACACAGTAACTTCAACATTTAATTAAAAACAAAACTGAAATTGAGTGTGCCCAAAATGTCTGAAAACCCTCATTACCTCCACCAAGAAAGTAATAGGCGTTTTAAGACAGGAGGAACTTTTCATAGTCCCAAGTGCCCTACTGTGTGTTGTGTCTGCACCATAAGAGCTAGGAACAATCATAGTTCTTAGAACGCTGTTTGAAGGGAATTTATTTGTTCTTTATAATTTGTAACCACAAATATTTCATTTTCTACAAACATGTCTTTTTATCTTTGTGTGGCGTGAAGTCATATCTACAAAAATGCAGCATGATTTGCACTTTTTTTGTGGATATGAGAAGACATGTTTGTGGATAGTGAAATATTTGTGGATCAATATCAATGAAATAAATAATATCAATACATACTTCTGTTAGCTCCTATTTCAGAGAAGCTACTCGCCCAGCACAGAAGGAACATTAAGTGATCTAAGTATGCCTTGATTGGTTGAACATGAGCCAATGCAGCACCGGCGACTGCCATTTTGAGAAACCCATTAGCCTTGTTAAACAACTGACAACACAAAACATGAACAACAGGAAAAATGAATCAATAGTGAAGTCCAGGCTTAACTGAGCATATATGCAACAGTGGAAATACTAAATGATTTTAGCTTGTCAAAGCCAAAGTGACAGTGCTATACCAACCACCGGCCGGCTTACAAAAGGTCACATCTGTGTACCTATTAGCAGTGTGAATGCAAACAGAAAATAAGCCACTGAAGGTATGTAGTTCTCACAGGAGCTCCAGTTCCTCTCAGGGAGTCCCAGGAACTGTTTAGTGTGAAAACACCTCATGCTTTTGTTCCGGTTTGTTGGTCTGTTTGTCAGCTGTATAACAGGATAAACTACGGGCCACATTTTCATGAAACTTGGTGAAAGGGTGTAGCGTGGGGCCAAGGAAGAACCAATTAAATTTTGAAGCAAATTTTGTTCACAGTTTGGATAAACAAATTCTTTTTCAGTGTTTGGCCTCGGCACAGCTCTGCACTCTCCAAGTCCCCTTTTAGTCATGTACACAGCTAAGGATAGTAAGACAGGTCAAACCTGAATAAGGATGTAGGTCTGACAGCAGTGATGGATAGGACAGGTTTGGAAGAGAAAACAAAGGAATTTTAGTTATTTCTCAAATAAGTTCAGCTCACCTGGGGGGAGGGTTGGTTTAAAACATGTACGATCATCTGAATGCTCATGCTTCTTGCCTGACATCATGATACTGATATGATAACTGATGAAAGTGTATCACTTGGTGCTGCGCTCCAGATCTCACCATTTAACTTGGTAAACACAATCTAATTATTACAAATAGAAATGATCAAAACAAGACCTAAGGTGTAATAAACCAGAGTTATCCTTTAACTCAACACTATCAAAACCATTCGAAAAGTAGTTGACCTCATCCATTACAGAAACTGGCTGATTGTTGTTGTGAACTGAAACACATGTCAAATTCTGTGTACAACTTCTGGAAATGTCTTCTTATCTTTGAGAAAATATCTGATGCCTAGTAGAGCTGTAACTAATGATCAATTTCATTGTCAAATAATCTATCGATTATTTTACAGAGTAGTTGTTTGGTCTATAAAATGTCAGAAAATTGTCAGATCTCTTGAGCACAACCCAAAGATATTCAGATTACTGTCACAGATGAGGAAAAAACAGTTACTTTTTTTTTTTCCTTAAAAAATGATTCAGATAAATTGGAGATTAATTAAACTACTTGATTAATCATTGCAGCTCTGATAGTCTGTCAAAGCTAAATTTGAGTTAGTTAATAGTATAATCAAGTTACAGAAACAATCTCCAGTCTACACTTGTTTTCATGTTAATTATGATACAATAATGTTGATCCTTACCGCTGACGTAGGGTCCCAGAGGCATCTGACTGTAGTTTACCATAGGCTGTCCACCCGGTCCTCTGAACCCTCCACCGAAGCTGCTGCTGTACATCTGGGAGCAGCCGAACCCACCCTGGCTAAAAGGCTGAGAAACAAACATCAGTAATTCAGCTGCAACTCTACATGACTCCTCTAAAGGATAACAAAAAGAGAATGCTGTGATTAAAGCCATACAGCAGGTATTAATTCTTCCATACAACATTTAGCTGGTTTAAGTTGTGTGAGAGAAGTTTTTCCCACAGTAGGAAATAAACTGCCGACCAGTCAAGTTGCAGTTTACATCCATGTCTGTGCAGACTCATATGTCATATAGTGAGGATGTGTATATATGTTGATGAAATGGAGGTTATCTTTAACTTTCCTCACTTGACTTTAGTAAGGAACACACTGTCTTCACTTAGAGACTGTTTTTCCAGAGGACTGACAGAGAGCCTCGTCACAATCACCGGACATAGCAATGATAGTAGCACAAATGCACACAATTAGTTGACTGGTCCAGACTAGCAGAAACCCTAGTTGGTTAAAATGGTCATTATTGTATGCGATTATTTTTCCATTCACCCAATTAAAAAAAAACTTTGTATTAATCAGGCATGTTTCCTAAAGATTTATTTTTCTAAAGAACATTTCAGTGGCATTTAAAATAAGATTTGGTTATTTAAAAATGTGATTAACGATTTCAAAAGGCTCTTAAAATGTATGTAATAGTTTTCAGCACAGTCTTTGATCTCAGAGATTAAATTGTGCTCAATTTTCACATTTTTTGAGGGTTTTGGTACTTTTAAACTTCCATTTCATCGTCAGGGAAATTAAAACATTCCTAGACAGTACACGATACTTCAGATATTGATGTTACAGAAGTTACAAATCCTTAAACATGGATGCTTCACACATATCTTCAACCTGGCAGCACAGCAGATCGATACACTCAGCAAAGTTTCAAGATCAGTGTCATCAATTCAGCAATCAACCACATGTCTCCCCTTCTGCTCCTGAGTTATGACACTGAATAATGGCCAAAAAAAATGTTTTTGCAGAACATTATGATGTCACAATGAAGCTGACCTTTGACCTTTTGGATATAAACTGTCAACACTTCATCATTTTATGTATTGTATTACACGTGTCTCAAATTTTTGTCTGAGTTTTGGCCAACAATTTTGACTGTTGACCACCAAATTCTAATCACTTCATCCTTGAGCCAATGAGGACGTTTGTGCCACATTTGAGGAAATTCCCTCCAGGCGTTCCTGGTATATTGTTTTCACAAGAATGGGGCGGACAGACGAACAACTCAAAAACACAATGCCTCCGGCCACGGCTGTCACCGACACGGAGCCATAAAAAACAAAAGGAGAGCGAGTCAGATTGCCGACTGTTTCCTTGGTTACGACAAGAGTTGGCATAGCAACCAGTAAAGCACAGTCAGAGCGCATAGCCAATCGCACTGCTTGGCTGAAATGATCTGTTGTATAACAGAGAATAAAACACACACATTCAACTCTGGCGAACAGGTGCAGGAGAGATGCAAGTAATGAGACAATACAGCCTTTGTTGAATCCTCGGGGACGGAACTGTAGAGCTCCGCGGTGAAGAGTAAACAACTTCATTACACCTGGGGAAACTCTTCCATGGGGGATAGAGAGCGGGAGTCTCCACAGGTTTTCAGAAGGAATAATGCGGTTGCTGAGTCGTGACTACAGAACACTTTAAAGTTTTTTGGGCCATAGCCTTTTATTTCTGAAATTTACTCAGCCCTGAGGCACATTTTACTGAGCCTTGTTTCCTCACCAGCCTCCACTGCATAGTAATAGCCAGCCGAGTCCAAACCATTCAGGAAAGAGACGAATAATACTTTGTGACACAGCAGTGAAATTATTCATCTCATATTGCTCCTGAAACCAGTGCTGTAATGTGACAAAGTAACAATACGTTGGTATAATACTTAAGTATTTATCTGTACTTTGCTTCAGTTTGTATATTTCTGTCACTACATTTCCTAAATAAAATGCATACTTTTACTCCAATTAATTTCATATTGTTCTTTGAATCCTCTAAGTTGTAAAGAAGACCTTTTTTTGCTCCGAGTGTAATGTACGCTCCATTTTTTTTAAGGTGGAGTTCATGTTACAAAGAAATAAACTTCATAATCCTGTGAATTCTGACTGCTTGCTTTTCAATAACCAGCATTAACTTCTACTTTTACTTTCAATACTTACATTACTCTTGATATAGTACTTAAGTACAGTAAATATCAGGGAGCGGTTGCACAAAACACCTTAAGTATGACACTTAAGGCTTAATTTCTCCTTAGCTGAGGGACTTACACAGTTGCACAGAATCTCTGAAAGGCTTCTTTTGATAAGGAGTAATGTAAACTCATTTGCTGCGTTGAAACAAACTTTTACAGCGGTAAAAGTTTCCATGGAGACTGTTTGTTTGCTCGGACTCAAGCTTGTGATGCTTGTTATCGTCTTCTGAAGGAATACGATCACAGAAAGCACAAACTACAAAGTTAATTTGATCCCAAAATATCAGAAAACAGAAAATGATTGTAGGAAGAAAATGCAACAAAAATGAATTCAGTCGAATCAAAAGTGTATCCACTGGGTGTCATAAATCAGTTCAGGGAGGACCCAAATGCAAAAAATGAGCTTTAATGCAGCTGATAAAAAACACTCTGAAGAGACAGGCAACTAAAAGTCCAAATAAAAGGGAGAACCAAAGCTAAACTGACAAGCAACAAGGGAAGCACGATGAACACAAGGAAGAACTTGGGGAAGAAATCCAAAATGGAACACAACACACCAGGAAAAGAAAATGCCACTATAAAGACTGGGATGAACACAGGATGAACTGACCAGGAACAAAGGGAAACACACAGGTATATATACACAGAAAGCTAATCACAACAACGAGACTCAGCTGGAGTAAGTGGACACAGGCAAAAGGAGGGAAATGAGGACTGGCTGACAACAAGGGTGTGGAGGGAAACACTAGGGTGGATCCAACAAGACTAATACAGAACAGGTGTGAAGGGAAGACTCTGGGAACAGGGAAGGACTAACAACACAGGTGTGACAGAAACAGGCGGGAAAACACACAAAGACAGGAAGTGAAACCAAACATGACACGTGAGGAGAGAAATAAAACAGGAAGCAGATTAAGCATGAATGAATAACACGAAACAAGGAACACGAGCAGAAACATGAAGGATAACAGAATATGAACAAACCCAGGATCAGGACACTGAGTGTGCCTGGTCGCAGATCACTCTTCTCAGGGTGTGTTAGTTTTTCATTTATCACCGTAAACTCAGTCATGTTGCAGATAGAGTCAGAGGTACCTTAAGTTTTTTTCACCTTGGTTTGGTTGCTAAGGTCTTTTGTGCAACGGTCTGGGGATTCTTTAAGTCTAAGACCAAGACAGGGAGAAAACCATAGATACTTAAATGAATATTTTAAGGAAACCCTTAGGAGGAGATTAAGGGTGTTTTGGGCTACCAATTTTATTTTGAGAAAACCATAACTACGACCTTAAGGAAAATCATAATTTAAGGTGTTTTGTGCAACCAACCCCAGATACTTAAAGACTTTTACTCAAGTAATATTCTAATTGGTGACTTTAACTTGTACCAAAGTTATTTTCTGACAAGATATCCGTCCTTTTACTCAAGCATGGCTTTTCACTACTACTTAATATTAAAGAAATCAAACAGAAGGTTGTATTTGACTTAATTTTTCTACCAAAGTATTGATTACTTGTGATGTTTTCTGAGGCCGCTCTGACCACTGAGTCTCATCTCACCTGCTGAGGCGGAGGCTCGCTCCCTCGGCTGGTGAGGCGGCTCAGGATGCTCCTCTCAGACATCTGCAGGCGGGCCGACACCGGCGGGATCCTGGACAGCATGTTGGGCAGTCGGGTCACATCAGCTTTCATGTCGCTCAGAAGCTCCTCCAGCTGGTTCAGCACTGTGAGAGCATGAGAACACACACACACCATATCAGAGAGAGTGGTTTCACTTGTTAGCTCTCATTTAGGGGGCTTTCACATCAGGGACCTGGGTCTGAATCTGAGTACACTTGACCACAACGTTAGATTCATTTGATGAGTGTAAACACTGGGTATTAATCTGTGTGCAGGTACACTTAAGGATGTGGTCTTGAGTACGGTTCATGTGTACTCCAGTGCAATACCGACAGGTGTGAAAACCAACTACAAGGCATTTTTAACAGGTTAGGAAACAGTCTCAATTTAACACTGATGCCTTTATATCAGATGGCAGCCCAGCCCGCCCAACAGGCCCAGATCCGGCTTCGCTGCCACCTTGACAGCCCGACAGCAGCAGCTCCTCCTCCAGCAGGAGCTTCACCGCGCTGCAAACAGTCGCTGTGACAGCAGTGTCCATGACGCAAGACCAGATATGGAACAACATAACTAATGTGGAGAGGGGTGGCAGTCGTACTCGAGCACAGTGTAAATTAATCGTACCTAATATGAAAGCGCCCTTCATCCCTGCATATGTAGAATCATTTACTGGAGAAAAGATCAGTGAGAGAAACCGCAGGGCAGCAGCATGAATAGTTCTTTTTAAAATCCTTTTCAAAAACTGTGTAAATACATCAAATCATTATGAAAAGCAAATTGTGTGATCAAGGGCCTAAAATTAACAACTGCCAAGATCTAAAAGCCATAAAATTCTCACTGACAGATAATTCAGTAAGGGTCACAGACAGCGACTTAGTCAAAGATAACATTTGAACGCCTGTGTTTTAGACAGTCTTTGGCCTTGGCCTGTTCCCAAACTTTGATCCTACTAATCACTGTGAGTGCGTTTCTGACGGTGAGTCGAATGAACACAAAATAAAGCCGCTGTGTCAAACAGGATCTTTACAGGCTGCCTGTTAGATGTTGTACACGCAGCAGTGGTGTGAAAACATCTTTATTCACTTCCTTTTTCTCTCCGATTAGTGTCTGGATGGATGGAGAAAACTGTTTCCTCTTGAAATCATGTTGTTTTAAGGGATTTCTACACGTAAGCGTCAGTACCTGGAAACAAGAAATAGTGAGGTGGGTCAACTGCCTGAGGGGGGAAAATATGCTCTGATGAAGGTCTGATAGACTGAAAGCTGAAAATAAAGTGAAGCACTGCTCAAATCTAAAGGCCCTGACACACCAGGCTGGCTGTCGGCCATCTGTGAGCGTATGTTGGCCTACTTTTTGAGGCGTGTCCTGCACTGTTGGCACTAGTCGGCCTTTGTCAGTGGCGTTTTGGGCCAATTTTGCATGCTGAAATGAAGCTCAGCGTATGTTTAATCAGGAAGACTTTGTTTTTCTCTCCCTCCCACTCTCACTGCTTCCTCCAATCAGCTGACTATGAGTGTTCACTCTTCTAGTTATCCAATCAAACTTTGCAACGCTCTCTATCAGCCAATCAGGATGGTACTGCAACATTTTAAATCTGCTTGCTCCTCTCCAGCAGTCATTTTAGGCAGAATTGTCACGCCCTCCTCCACCCTGTTCACCTCCAGCCATTGTATCCAGAGTGCAGGACGAGCTCAACAAAGGCTCATTCCTCTACTCATCTACGCAAGTTTACCCTTCAACATCACTATGGTTAACATGTGATTAGGTTTAGGCACAAAAGCCACTTGGTTATGGTTAGGAAAAGATCATATTTCAGCTTCAAATACCCACTTTTGGAGCTCAATCCCAGCTCAAAACACAGCAATGTCTCTGTAAAAAACAGCTATTCATAGGAGGATTCTGGCTGCTAACACAGCAGTGGCTCAGTAAAGAAACAACCACTTTTCATGGCATTATCCCGACTGGAAATGTGGCAACAGGTCGCTTTAAAACACCCATGTTTGGTGGTCACCTCACATAGTACTCATCTAAATCATCAGTACTTCTCTGTCTTCCCCACATCTTCATCTCATCTTCACCACCTCTACCACCACCAGCATTAAGACCTTGGGGGTTCCCTGTTCTACTATGGATTCATCACCCTCCTTAAATATATACCATCTCAAAGGGGTCGAATTGTCAAAGACTTTTCACATTTTTCATACTTATGTGCACAAGTAAATAAATATTCTTTTCGCTAAAACTGAGTCTCTCTTGATGGAATTGGCGTCGGAGCCGGCAGAGCCCGTCGGTGAGAGAAATCACCTTGATTGGTAGTTCAGCTCAGGGCGCATGAAGAGAAACAGAAGTGAGGTAAGCGAGCAAACGGCTAAAGTCAAGAGGAAGTGAGATCGAAACAAACTTGTTACATTAAATAAGATTATGTATTTAGCCATTGAGCTCTGAGATGGTTTGTGTAAAATGTCATTTTACTGTACTAACTGGCTAACTAGCATCTTGAATCCATCCTGTTGGTCTTTTGGTTTCCCTTTTTGAATGACGAATACAGACTGCCGCCACCTGCTGGTAGGGAGAGTTACGTCCTGCAAGCACAGAACGAACACGCTAGTAAGCCATTGACTGTAGTCTTTGCACTGCGTTCAAGTGCAACTTCCTGGCCAGGACACAGGCAACGTGAGGCGAAGCAACAGTTGGCTTTTGTCTCTACCATTTCTTTGACTGTCGGTTTGTTGTGTCTCAGCCATAAGTGTGCGGAAATCTCTTCAATCAGTTTGGACTCAATGATGCTCTCAGCACCTAAGCAAAGATTAGGTCTTGAGGAGTGGTGGTCATACTGCACTAGGAAAGGGTTAAAATTATTGTAAAATGGTGCTGCAGCAGACTCATTACTTGTTTTAATAACATAAAACTTGTGTTCAGCTACAAAAAGACTTGTTAAGAAGGACATGTTTGCAGTGTGGCTACAGAAATTACAGGACTGCATTGATTTGTCACTAGTAGAAAAAATGGATGGAGCATAATATGCAAAAATATTTAGTATTTAATGAAATATCTTTTCTGAATCCAATAATAGTGTTTTTTTTAATTATGAGGGGATTTGGGGGATCAAGATTTAAATATGTGTCCTTGCCTCTTTTATGAATGTTTCATGCACAGCCTAACTTTACACACAACACAGCGCAGATGACCTGTGGGCTGACAGATGTCTTATGAAAAATTTATATCAGTAATTTTGCCCTGTAAATGACATTTGTGCGGGATTGTTTTCCCAGTTTACCAGCTTTTGGCAGGTGGTGCAGAAATTCTGACAATTAAGACTGTAGCTATTTTTGAAACTGGACCGCAGACCTTTGTGGAGCACGGCGTTTGCAGGCTTGTTCCCGGCCAGAGACTCTTTGGACAGGTGCTGGTGGGACTCTGCCAGACATTCCACCTCGGCGAAGCGAGTGTTGAGAGCCATGGCCGGGTGGCTGGGGTCCTGGGTCATATTCAGGTAAGCTGCCCGCCTCAACTGCTCCTCAATCACCAGAGCCTGCTCCAACAACTACAAAGAGATGCAGAGGGAGGGAAAGAAAAAGAGAGTGTGTGAAGCAAAGACATGACAGTCAGAGGGAGGCACAGTTTGAAAGACAGTGTTTCAATTTGCATTCAGATATAACAAATCCTTTAATCCTTGAATTATTTCAGCCTTCAGTAGTTATTTTTAATTATAAAGACTCAGGATTGCCTTAAAGCGGCGAGCCAGGAACTTGTTCTTCATCTCCAGGTAGTTGCCCTTATGCATCTCAGTCTTGAAGGGCTCATTCAGAATGGCGTAACGTGGGTCATTCTGAATGTCCTGCCAACGAGCATAGCCATGTCTGAGACGGATTCCCGGTCAAGGAAAACAAATGGCAGCACAGAACCTCATAAAATTCTTCAAATAAAAAAGAAAGATAGACTTGTGGAAAGCGTAGTTTTATATCACTCCTCACAGTTTGTAAATATCAGTCCTCCGACTGCAGCTCCCCCCAGGTCATAAGTAATTTCATTACTTTGCCAGATGCCGAGCTTCTCGCTCCTACATCTGGGGAAGGATACGTTACGATGCCAGCCAAAAGCCAGTAGTCATGGCGACGGTGCCAGATGTCATGCATCTTTCCAGAAGACAACGCCGCTCGTTCTTCAGTTTGCCAGAGGGTGTGCAACTCTGACGGAGAAAGCATAAAGACAAACTGTTTTTACAAAAGCAAGAAGTAATATTCAAGATGTTTCCAGCATATAAGGAGGAGTGAGAGCACTTTAACAACACAAACAAGATTCACGAGCAAACAAAGCTGTTTCATTGTGGCATCTGAAATAAACAACCTGTAGTGAGACACTAGAGCACAAAGTTGTATCAAAGAAAGAGGGAAAGTAATTACCCAGACACAACGTGCATATGTGAGTAAGTTCCACAGGACAGTGTACGAGCAACTAGCTGCGAATAAGCAACCTATGCAACAGAATAAATGTTGACATTATGCATTGCTGCAAACCATCAATACATTTCTTTACGTTTCTTTATATTTCAACATGTGGTTAACATGTGGTTGGGGTTAGGCACAAAGGCCACTTGGCTATGGTTAGGAAAAGATCATGTTTTGGCTTTAAATACCCACTTCTGTGGCTCAATCCCTGATCAAAACACAGCAATGGCTTGGTAAAAAAACAGCCATTCATAGTATTATTCCAGCTGTGATTGCAGCAGTGGCTCAGTAAAGAAACAACCACTCTAATGGCATTATCGACTGGAAATGCAGCAATGGGTCGCTAAAAAACACCCATGTTTGGTGGGTTCAGCTGCTGGAAACGCAGCTTGGCAGGCTTCTTGCCTAGGTGACATACCTTCCACCATCCCCTCCACATCCTGACGACAAAATCACCTCACTCACTACATCACTTTCAACAACAAATATCACACAAGTCAATTAATTTGTTGTCATGTTTTCCCCCCTCTCTTTTGGATTCCCTTTGACTGGTCTGGCTTTGTTTGTTCTTGTGTTGATGGGTGGTTGGAGTTGTTTTTCGTCCTTATTGGTTCTGTGTTATTATTGGAATTGGTTGCATATTAAAAACTATGAAACCTCCCTCATCTAAAATCAAAGCATTATATTCACGAATGTTGCCTTTGGAGCACTGATTACTTTGTTTAGACAATGACATATACAGTAAGTTGCTGAGACTTCTTTGGTCATCGCCTCGTACATTTAGGACCAAAACAAAGTCAGATTTATTCTCACCTGTGAAACCTCCATCAGCGATATTGAACATAAACTTGGCTTTGTATCCGTTCTTGTCCTCCTTCCTGCTCTCATCCATCTCGTCCAAAGTGTCTTTGTCTCCATTTAATCGACCCTCTAATGTATCCTCACTCTTCATATCATCTGCAATGGCTACATAAATGACAGATCAATTTCTTAAAAGAAATATCTCTATAATGGACCGCCACTAAAGATGGCTTTTAAAAAGCAGAGTTATTATAGCCTTTGTTACCACCTGTTTTATTTAAGGATTCATGGCGTGTATACCTGGCTTATTTTCCTTGTCTTCAGTTTTTGCCTGAGGAGAATCACTATCTCCTTTTTCTGTTTCTTTGCAGGGCTCCACTGTGGATAACAAAAGAAGAGACTCAATTAAACTAAGTTCAGCCTTGCAGAGAAATTAAATTTGCAGCACACGTATTATGCACCACTCACTTTTAGGTGAGGGTTGACTGGATGGTAGCTCTGTCTGTTTCAAAGCGGACTCTTTGGAGTTGGCAGATGGCTCTGACTTTGCAGAGGGGGACTCAGCTGCGTCCCTCTCATCTCCTGTTTTCTCCTCTGAGCTGGTCTTGCTCTCCTCGCCGTCAGATGCTTTCTCAGGTACAGATGCTGGCTCTGCACTGGAAGACTGCCGAGGGAGAAACAGACAGGGCAACAGCGGGAGAAAGAGGAAAGTTGGTAGAGGGCAGAGAGACAAGTTAAAAGGTGTCTAAGTTTGACAGAAGCGTCTTCAGAGGATGATAAGACAAGTGTGGTTAAAGTGTGATGAGCCATGAGAAGATGAACAACAAGACAATAAAGGGAAACAGAATGACAGTGATGGATAGTGGCAGAAAAAAGAGGACTCACTTCCTGCTCTGACGATTTCTTGCTATCTTGCTCTGTGGTCTCCTTGTCTTCAGCAGTGCCCAAGAGAGACTCAGTCTTCTCTGCAGTCCAGCAAAAAAACAACAACTTAAACTTTTTGAGCAACACTTTTTCTTGGCATGAACCTTACAGCCAGATAAAAATAAATCATGATCAGCACTTCGATCTGACCTGGTGGGATGGGAGTTCCGGGCTGCGTAGCGACAGGGCTAGCTGGCACAGGGGTGTTGGGATCAGAAGATAAACTCTCAGTCAGTTTCTTCAGCTCCATGCCGATGGGAATCAGATCTGGAGAGCTCAGCTTTCCATTTACATGCTCAAACTCTTGCACCTACGGAAAAGAGATAGGTTCAACTCTAAAAAATGAAATTACTACTCTTTACTGGAATGACTTTCCTCAATATGGGATTAGAAAGAGCTCTGTTGTAAAATACATGTGGCGTATTAACCAGTAGTTTTGTTTTAATTTGTCTGTATCCAGTTGCATCAACTCCTAAGTTCAAACTCAGTGTTACTTCTCTCAGTGACAGTGGTATTAGGTTGTAACCGTTAGTTGATGTCCATGTACGGTGACCTAGAATAGTTAGAAGTTATTTATTCGCACTAGTCAGGTAAAGCTATATTTTATTAGTTTTAGGGGATGAACTGGTGCAGCAACAACTCACATTGTGATACAAAGCTTTAAACTGTTGTCAACATGTTGTTTAAATACTCTGAGCAATAAACCACACATCTTCTTTGTAGCATCAGTGTTGTTGCCACATTACAACTTAAAAACTTATGAACACACCAAAGTTGGAAAAACAGCTTCCCAACTCTCAGATTTGGTAAAACACTAGTTTGAAACTAGTTAGAAGTTACCAGAACTTATGAATGATTTTCCGCACAAACAACTAAAGCTGAAGTGCTCAAGCTCCAGACACATGTGTTGGTCTTTTCCTTTACCCAGGTGTGTACGCTACAAGGCAAACAAAGGAAACAAAACATCAAAATTTGTGGTCTGTGTGATGTATGAAACAGGACGGTACCCAAATAATACTTTTTTCTCTCGCCTGCGTTTGCCTCTGCCTGAACAATTTGACCTACTTTTCTCTAATCTCCCAGCGCTCCAGCAGAAGACTTGGTATTCTGTGTTAAAAGAAGCCTTTGCTAGAACAACCAGTACCTTTTTCCTGACAAGGGACATGACGCCGATCCTGGTTAGAACATGCTGACGAGACAGTCCTTCACGTGGGACTCCGTCAGCAAAGGTCTCTGCTCCGTCTGCCCCCGGCTCACACAGATGTCTCATGAACAGAGACACATAGGCCCTGAAGGAAAAAAAGACACTTTACAGCACACGGGACAAGAGGGATTCCTCTCAGATTATCAGCACTAACACGTATATTTTACATTTAAAACAGCACGAGTAGGAGAAGTACTTGTAGTAGCAGATTTGAAGTGTATTAAGTGATGTTTTTCTTTGGTTCTTTTTGGTTTTGTATGAGCTACAGTATATATTTGATGTTGTATACATATATATATATATACATATATATATATATATAGGATCTTGAGGCACAGCCAGGGAGAGGAAGGGGTTCGGTTTGGGGACCTGGGAATTGTATCTCTGCTTTTTTGCAGATGATGTGGTTCTGTTGACTCCATCAGTGTGGAGCAGTCGGAATGAGAGTTAGCACCTCCAAATGGTTCTCTGCTGGAAAATGGTGGATTGCCCTCTCTGAATTGGGAGAGAGTTACTTCCTTAACTGAGGGAGTTCAAGTATCTTGGGGTCTTGTTCACGAGTGAGGGTAGAATGGAGCGTGAGATGGATCGGCGGTTGGGTTCGGCCTCTGCAGTGATGCGGGCACTGCACCGGACCATCGTGGTGAAGACAGAGCTGAGCAGGAAGACAAAGCTCTAGATTTACTGGTCCATCTATGTCCAGACCCTCACCTATGGTCATGAGCTCTGGGTAGAGACCGAAAGAATGAGGTCGAGGACACATTCAAAATGATTTTCCTCTATGGGGTGGCTGGGCTCAGCCTTAGAGAGAAGGTAAGGAGTTTGGGACACCCAGAAGGAGCGCGCAGTCGGGCCATTGCTCCTTTGCGTCGAAAGGGATCGGTTGAGGTGGTTCGGGCATCTGATCAGGATGTCTCCTGGGCGCCTCCCGTTAGAGGTGTTCCGGGCACATCCCACTGGTAAGAGGCCCCGGGGCAGACCCAGAACATGCTGGAGGGATTACATATCTCATCTGGCCTGGGAATAACTTGGGGTCCAAGGAGGAGCTGGAAAGTGTTGCTGGGGAGAGGGACGTCTGGGGTGCTTTGTTTGGCGTGCTGCCCCCACGACCCAGGCCCCAGATAAGAGGATGGAAATGGATGGAGATCTTTAATGGTGACATGCTAACACACTGGTAGTCGAGGCAGTAGTATCAGTAATAGTTTTAGAATGAGGCCTGACAGTAGTTCTTGTGCGATACAATAGTATTAGTAGCTGTAATAGTGGCAGAAGTAATTGTAAATAAAATGGAAAAATAACAGTAGTAGTACTAGTAGTCATAATAATCATAAGATAATAGTGGGAGCAGTGTGGTGGTAGTAATAATAGTTAGCATTGGTGATAGCAGTCATAGTAGAACAAATAGTAGAACAATAATAGTGACAGTATCATTAAAAACAGTAGTGCTTGACACAGAATAGAAATATAAATTCAGCTTTAGTATTCATGGCAGCAGCACCAGTAGTAGTGCCAGTATTTGTATTTGCAATATGGTAATCATAGAAGCAACAGTAATAGTGATAGTAGTATGTGATTGCAGGTGCTTTACTTTAGAAATAACACAACTCAGGGCTAGATGTATTCTCAGTATCTATTTATGTAGAGTTTGGCTCTGGTGCATTTTAAACCCTGAAATTGGAAAGCCCAACCTCTGCAAACTTGATATGAGCACCGTGGAGCTTCGCCCTGGGCTAACCAATTAAATGTGAGGAGTGAATTAAATAGCCCAGAGCTACCTCTTAACTTGATAGCGGGCAGAGCCTTGACTAAAAATTGCACTGTGTGAAAAGAGAAGTTTCGTTTAAACAAATAACACCACTTGGTGTGTTTCAGTTTGAGTCTATTACCTGAACTCGCGCTCACTCTTCCCTCTCAGGTCTCGAACCAGCCAATGGGAGTTGAAGGCATCCTGAGGAGGCATGCCCCAGCGCATGATGGCATTGAGGAAGGCTTTCCTCTGGCGAGCATTGAACCCCAGGACCTTGTAGTGAGGAGAAACAGCTTTAGTCTCATATTTTACTTTATTTCTCAAACTTGCATATGCACATGTAACTAAATATTCCTCCATCCCAGAACAAGTCTCTCCTGATTGAACTGTTATTATTTAAAGAAGTTAGTTGCTGCCGCTGTCTGCAGCAGGACTTGCTGAGCTTCCATGTTGGTACGACTACCTGCTTCTCCAAAGTGCTGACCGTCATCTGCTGTATGTAATACACTGACTATGGATTAGTACCTCATACATACGTGCAGTACATGATTGCTATCAGTTGCATATTGTAAAAGTGGAAATTTATTTATCCTAATTCTGCCTTTTTCTGCCCCATTCCACAGCAAGGTGAGCAAGGCCACAGGATCAGCTGCAGGGCGGTGATGCTTGCTGACATATTGGGCTTAACGATACTCTCTGGGTTTGTTTTGGTGCCAAATAGCAGCCACATATTATCCCAGAATTTGTCTGTATTAAGCACAATGTACGGAATGAAGAATTATCCTCTTGTCTGCTTTTTTATGCTGCCAAAAGTGTTGCTACAAAGAGGGTGTACAAGTCCACTTTAAAGGAATACTTCACCCACAAAATGACAATTTGTATATCAACGACTCATCATGTGTTAACTTGGATTGAATTTGTGAAGAATCCAAAAAACGCATGCGCAAACATTTCTGATGAATTGAAGTATATGGGGACTGCATTTAACAACAGCAATACTATATCAAAACAGCCTTTTACAAACTGTCACAAGTCGTGCAGTATAATCTAGATGATGCTCAGGTCTTCCCAAACACATGGATTTTCTCTAACACATTACAATTTAAACCACAACTGCACCAACAGTCTCATGCATGGCACTATTCATAGACAGGAGTGTTTTATAACGTAAAGTTTCAGCTAAAATGCACGTGTTTGGGATGTATTGAGCATATAAATGAGACATGGATTATATGGCACAATGTGTGTGAGAGCTTGTTAACATGTTTTGATATAGTTTTGCTGTTCTTCAATTTATCAGACATGTTTGCCTTTTTTGGATTCTTAGTTCACTGGAGGCACACATGAAAAACAAAGTCTTCTTCACGAACTCAGTGTAAAGGATATCATGTGATGGACCTATGGTCTGTTATTTATACCTCAATACTGCCCCCAACTCGTGCCAGTAAGGGTGGCAAAGGTTTGTCTTTCTCATTCTTCAGCTGCCGGCGAGACTGTCTGCGTCCGCCTGCAAAAAATAAAACCACATGCATTGTTAAAAAGACCTCTCTCCATTGTCTTACCATGATGGGATCAATTTGTGTGAAGGAGTATCCCAACTGAGTATGTTGCAATGCAGCTACCACGCCTAAACAGCATGGTAGCTGCATGATGGCAATGATGATTTGTTTGCCGCCTACCTTCAGGCCTCTCCTCGAAATCTTCGTCCTCGTCCTCGGACCCCACAGAGTACTCCGACTGATTGTCTGAAAGATCATCCTGCCACTCTGAGCCACACATCAGAGAGAAACAGTACATTGCATTCGCTTCTGTTGGTGGCCACCTGGGGGCGCCATGGCACTGCAGATTACTACAGACCACTACAAGCTTGGCATGCACATATTGTAGCACTTCTGTCCTCTGGAAGTGAGGTGAGAGGTGACTACTCTGCCAGACAATCACTTTAAACTTAGAGTGTACTCTAAGCTGTGATGGGCTGTGAAATCTTTACACTCTCACAGTCAACTGCTGTTGAACTGTGGCAATCAGGACTTTGGAGCCACTCTTAAAAGTACAACTACAGGATATACTGTAGATTAGAAACTGTTGAACTATGAAAAAGAAGTGCTTTAAAACACATTGAGGAGACTATATAAATGCATGAGATACCAGAGAGCTTTAGGCCAGTATAACACACTCTGTGGCAGATTTAATGGAGGTCAACAGCTCTTGTTGAGACTTACAACCTAAGAGGATTTAACAAACACGGAGATTAATTTCTGTGCTGTTCTTGCCTGAACTGATAGACCCAAATTATGACGTGTTGAGATAATGTCACCTTGTTCGCTCACTAATGAAGCCGGGCAGCGGCTCGACTGCTCTGAATGAGCTCACTGGGTTGTTTGGTGGATATCAGAGTCGATCATATGTTACAACAAGAGCTGTTGACCTGCACTAAAGCCGGCAGAGAGGGTGTTACGCTGGTCTGTAACACAATACAGAAACATCCTGGCCCATTCATTAGACATCTAGCCACAGTGGAATTTGAACCCAGCAAATGTGCCTTCATTACGGCAGCAGACTGATGGTACGTGTCCAAAGGATCCATCATTTCCACGCCTTCCAGTCATTGTCTTTGTAAGCCGCCGTGCAATGCATTCTGGTAGCGCTGCAATGTGTTTGGAGAGACGGGGTATCTGCTTCTCATTTGCATAAAGTTCAATCTAGGCTACTTATGCAAATCAGGAGCATCTGGCGCAACTTGCTGCCTCTGGAAACTCACGCAAAACTTCTAAACTAACCGTTGTCCATATAAAGTGCACACAGATTCAGCAACTTCATGGCTTATTTCTCGCCTCAAATGTCTTTTAGAAATACATTTCGGTGAACTATTTTTGCAATATAAGAAAAAGTTTACAAACAAGCTGCCACGTTGGTCCAGTTTCAAGTCCAGGAGCAGGCAGCCCACGTATCTAGTGGCACGCCAATCAAGCGTTCTATGCTGGGAAGCAGTGCGACCTCCCACATCTAAAATCGCCCCTGTGGACATGTACGACGAGGTTACTGGTTTGAGTGACATCTTCAGAGCTTAAAAACAAATGTCTCAGTTTAAAATCCTTAACAAACTTCTCTCATGGAGGAACTACTCCGAATATACTCGTGTAACTTTCACGCTCAGCTCAGAGAACGATCTGAAACCAAGCAAATAAAGCGTTAGTCTTTATGCTGATCTGTTTAGCTGTGATTACAAAGATAATGTGTGTTTTCATAACAGGCAACAGCTCCCAGAATGCCATTCAAAACCCGACACTTAGTATTGACTGATGGAGGCAGTAATACACTTCGCAGCAGCTAAACTGCTGGAAAATCATTTGGAGAAGACAAGAAACAGATCCATACAATAAACCCCAAACAGGACCCAATTGAAGGGTTTATTTAGAACATTATGTCTCTTCTCTCTTAGAAATATGCTTCTCTCTCGCCTGCCACCTGTCCACAAGCCAGCTGATGAGCCAAAAAGCTTGTTTCTTCTGCATCCTGTGTGCGCTTGTGTGTTTCTGCTCATGTTTTAATATGGGGAAGAATGCCAAACACTGGCACCAACATGTTAAAATTAAAAGCAGTAATAATAGAACATGGCTGCTGCTTGTAAAATACAGCCAAGAATTAATTTCTTATGATAGTATTAACTCTCGTGCTGTGTCTTATTTCTCCCTCTTACGTTCTTACACTTGTTATTTTAAGTGCACACTGACAAGTATGGAAAATTACAGTGTATTATAAGTATCTGGATGGTGAACTCATGACGTCAAATAGTTGAGTGTGGAACGATGGACACTCTTTCAACCTTCAACGGTCGCCATCTTGGCTACGGAGCGGAAGAGGAAGGACCATCACACTTGTGAAAATGAAAGTGGAGGAGGATGCAATGGTGAAAAAACAAACAAGCGCTTAGATATTTTGGCAGGCGAGATATGCAGTCAAATGCTGGCTGTAATGCTCCATCCGGCTGCATTTGACATTAACAAAAAGACAAAGAAGTGGTCAAACGTTGCAATCGTCATTTCCGATAAGTGCACAACAGCCATGTTCGATTTGAGACGATAGTGTCCATGGTGTTCTACATGGAAATGTCCGAATGGAAGTATCTGAAGTGAGGTCTGTGAGTCCTAACTGACAAGCGCCACGTGTTGGGTGGTGACAGAGCCTACCTTGATCCTCCTGGGTCGTATCGTTGTAGTTGACCTGCTTTCGGATGCGTTTGCCTTTGCCGAGGTTGCGGGCCAGATCTTCCTGCTGCTGCTCGTAGTGGTGGCGGAGCAGCTTCTCCCAGTAGTCTGGATCCACGTTCTCCTCCTGCTTGATGATCTCCCGCTCCACCTCCTCCTGAACATGGACACACACAAAGGCAATGATGCAGTGATGTTTACTCTGATGTTTCAGAGTAAATATAAAGTTAAAATCAGGAGCTTACACTATATTCCTCAAATTTTATATGAGGCATTTTCCAACACAATCATTTTAAGGCAGATACACTTTGCACTCAGTTGTCGGTAGCCAACAATGCTATTAACACCCTGGGTGTAAACAGTGGATATGACTCTTTACACCAGGCTGTATATTCTTTCTCTCTTTATACTACATCACTTGACTTTGGCAGCACAATTCTGGGGGTATTCTTACCAATGATTTACTACTTTAATGTCAGAAAATATATTACTAGTATTACCCTACAAAGTCTTAGGACTGCTGTGGAACTGCGCCTACTTAGGGCAGCAAAAAAGTCTATCTTGGGTGCGTCAGTACAATGGAAAACCAAGAAAGGATGGCAGAGGAGATACCCACACACCAAAGTTACTGGGCTGGACAGTCATAAAAAAGGTTCACAGGCTGAGATCAATGCAAAAAAATGCACCTTATGTGCCAATATTTTATTGTATAATTATGTTTAAATGCGCCACAAAGTTAAAAGACACCAAGTCATAAGGCTCAGGTGCCTGGTGGACCAATTGTGAATTAGAAGTCACCTGTGAGTTTCATTAGAAACAAGCACAGCTCCTTTTTCATTCAGCTATACACAAATTGTGCATCCTCAAGGCCTTACAAACATTTCTTACATCTTTAAACATTCAGCAATCCTTCTTTAAAACTGTGTTTTACAGGTTTGCCAAATGTTTCTTTTTTTATTTGTCCAAAGTTACCTTTTAAAATGTGCTGGCCTTCTAAAGCCAACAAGTATGTCAGCATTCATTAAAGACATTGATAACTGGATGTCATGCAGTTTTCCTTCTACAGATAAATACCGACTGGTAATCAGGGGAAATGCAAAAACTGGATGTTGACCTTAACTTCCAGAGCAATATTAATATCGTATTCAAAACTGGTGTTCATCATCTAAGAAATATTGCTGAGATCCAGAGCTTTTTAATCTCAGGATGACGCTGAAAAACTCGTTCATGCTTTCATCTCTAGTCAGCTGGACTACTGTAATGTGCTGCTCACAGCGGTACCTAAAAAACTCATCAACCGACTGCAGCTCCTCCAAAATGCAGCTGCCAGGGTTTTAACCACAACAAAGATATGTGACCACATAACACTGTGCTGAAAACACCACACTGGCTTCCAGTAAATATTAGAATTGATTTTTAACATTTTATAGTTTGCTTTTAAGGCTTTACATAGTCAGGCACCCAATATCTCTCTGATCTGCTTGTGAGCTGTGAGTCAGCTCGACCCCTGAGGTCATCTGGAATAGGTCGCCTGGTTATTCTCCATGAATACGGGTGAATCATCTTTTAGTGGTCTATTTATCTTATTCTGTTTTTGGTTCTTTTATTTATTTTAATCTTAAATGTATTATTCTCTTTTAATGGTCTACTTTTAGTATTATTTTGTTTAAATTTAACAAATGTTTTATCAGTTCTGATTCACGTTTTTTGTATCTTTTATTGGATTATTCTTCAAATTAATAATTATTTCATGAGGTTTTATTATTCGTTTTAATGGATTTGATTCACTTTCAAGGTGGGTTTCTGACTTTGTTTTGTGCCTGCAACTTCTGACAACCATTCACACTCACATTCACACCTACGGACAATTTAGAGTCACTGATTAACCTGCATGTCTTTGGACTGTGGGAGGAAGCTGGAGTACCTGGGAAAACCTACGGTGACACATGGAGAAAATGCAAACTCCGCACAGAAGGACTCCCCCACCCCAGGTTTGAACCAGGAACCCTCTTGCTGTGAGGCAACAATGCTAACCACTGCAGCACCGTGCCGCCGAAACTTTAACAGAGATAACCAGAAAAAGCGCAGCTGGTGCCTGTGTATAAAAACTGCAGAAGATGAGCATTGAAACTGTTTCGATATTTGGAGTGGATATGTGTCTATGAATCAGTATTTTTTGCCACCACTGTGAAGAACACTGACACATTCTCACCTCTCCATCCTCTTCTTTCACCACATACTGAGCCACCTTGAAGGAGCTCAGGTACTCGTTCATGTTCTGGATCTCCGTGTCTTCAGTGGCGTCCTGGCTGCGGTCCAGCAGCTTCGAAATGGCGTCATCGTCGTAGTGAATCACGTTGCCCTCCTCGCCCTCTTTGTTGTCACCTGTTGATGAGAGTTGATGACTAATAGGAGCAGACGAAAAACATGTTTGTGTCAAAAGCTTTGATCTATGAAAACAAGGATTTGACCTGAAAAGAGAACTTTTAAATGACTGGACAACCCACATCAATATGGACTCCCTGGCATTTTGTACTTTTGTCACTTGCTTTTAAGCCTCTCGGGGCCTTTTCTGAGATGACTGGCCTCTAACTGTCTCCAGTGTTACTCTGTGACTCAGTGGCTTTTGTGGAAATGTGGATCTGCAGGAGTATTTCATGGCACAAAATGGGGGTGCTTTTTAAAGGCGAGACTCACTGTGCTCAGCATAAATTTTAGCATAGACAGAGCAAGAGGAAAAACCCATTCTGTATTTGAAGGTGACAGTAAATGGATACAGTACCTCTGATTGTTTCAACCAAGGCTTCATTAGTTTGTTAACATCAAACAACAGTAATGTTTAATGAAGATAAAGCAGTGTGAAGCTCAAATGCAAGTGTGAAAACTTTTTACTGGATTGAGTGTGCAATTATAAAAAATAGGTGGTGCGTAGACCTACCCATGGTTCGTGCTGCCTCCATCTCATCTTTGAAAAGCTCCTCAGTGCCAAACTTGAGAATATCATCCAGTTCTTGTTTGGACATGGAGCCAGTTTTGGAGCCCAGGCCGGGCCGCACCACCAGATGGGTCAGCATCATCTTCCTCTTCGCCACCTGAGTGATTCGCTCCTCCACTGAGCCCCGCGTCACAAATCGATAGATCATCACCTTCCTGTTTTGACCTATACGATGGGCTCTACTAAAAGCCTGGGACAATGGAAAGATGGGTGGACAGAAAAAGGGACAGTTACAGGAAGTGACACTGAAGTGAACAGCTGACATTAACAAAAGCATCCACACAACTACTACTGGCTGAAAAATCAGTACTTGGATGTCATTGTGAGGATTCCAGTCAGAGTCGTAGATGATGACAGTGTCTGCGCTCGCCAGGTTGATGCCGAGACCTCCGGCTCGCGTTGAAAGCAAGAAGCAGAACTGCTGAGCGCCCGGTGCTGAGACAAAAACCGAAGCAGAGAGTCAGTTTGTGTGTGAGAGTGAGTGAAAGCCGTGCAGAAGAGAGCAGACGCAGACAGATTCTGGATTAAGAAACTCACCATTGAAGCGGTCAATGGCCTCCTGCCTGAGGCCTCCAGTAATTCCTCCATCAATACGTTCATATTTATAACCCTCGAACTCCAGAAAATCCTCAAGTAGATCCAACATTTTTGTCATCTGTCCAAAAAACTCATGATATTATAAATTCATGTAGCTGGGATCAAATTAAATAAAACTGTTAGAACTGAGAAAAGTCACACTCAAAATGGTCTTTGATTAGATGTTTGGAATATCAGCAGATTTACCACCTACAACTCTCACTGGCACTGGAATGGCGTTTCATGGCCACCAATCAATGAAAGCGATGGCTTGGAGCCCAGACACAATATTTATTGGACTATTACCTGAGAGAAAATGAGAACTCTGTGTCCCTCATCTTTGAGTTTCTTCAGCATTTTCTGAAGCAGTGTCAGTTTTCCTGAGGACTTCACCAGTAGGTTGCCATCGTACGAGCCGTTGGGTAGCACAGGAGCTTCCTGCAAAGACAAAAAAATCACATCCAGGTATCGGAAATATCTGAATACTTTGTGAGTGTAATCAGTGGCTTTAAGCAACAGTACTTTGAATTTCCAACCAGGACACAAGGGCTACAATTTTTTGGCATACAGGTTTGTTATCTTGAGTCAAACAGCTATTTCAGCCCCAGGCTCTCTTTTCACGGCACCAACATTCAATTTCATCATTCAAAGATTCTGCACTCGGTTCATAATGGAAGAAATGTCCAAGGCGCTCTTCTGGCATAAAGTTAAAAAGTCTTTAATCAGATGGGTATTTCATGGTGAAATTCTAAAAACAGAGACACTGCTGGTACATCCATCCATCCACCCATCCATTTTCATTCACTTATCCAGGGCTGGGTCACGCAGGGCAGCAGTCTGAGCAAAGTACTCCAGACGTCCCTCTCTCCAGCAACACTTTCAAGCTCCTCCCGGGGCATCCTGAGGCGTCCCCAGGCCAGATGAGATAAATAATCCCTCCAGCGTTTTCTGGGTCTGCCTCAGGGCCTCCTACCAGTTAGACCTCCCCAGAAAACCTCAAACAGGAGGCGTCCTGATCAGATGCCCGAACCACCTCAACTGGCCCATTTCAATGCAAATGGGCAGCGTCTTTACTGCGAGCTCCCTACAGATCCCTTGGATCAATGCTGGCAGGTGTTGAGATAAATACATGTTGGGTTGTAACCCAGCTTTATCTATGCAGTCTGAGTACAGGCTTTTTAACTTTTTGCCAGAACAGAGCCTTGGCCCTTGCTTCTTATTCTAACTTTTCGTGGTCCCTACCAAAGAGCTCCTTCATTCACTTGTTCGACCTTCTCAGCACTCCTGACTTTTCCTTATTTTGCACTCAGCACTGAGATCAAATATCCAGCTATGCTTAAAATGTACTGGCTTACCACAGCAGCCACGGGGAACAGGTAGGGATGGTTGCAGCACTTCTTCAGGTCCATCATAATGTTGAGCAGGGACACTTGGTTCCCTCCGCCTTTGGAGTTCAGAGCCTCAAAATTCCGCGTCAAAATAAACTTGTAATATTTCCTGCAGGTCAGAGGTTAGAAAAAAAAAAAATAGCTCATCACTTTTGGAAGATAAAGTCTTTGAAACTTGTTGTGATTAAAAGCCTGGCAGTGTGTGAGATATTCTCACTGTAAAGTAGAGATAACAAGCTAGTGTCATGTAAAAGTTAATTGCATTTAAGACTTTAAGCCTTCAAAACATGCAAAGTGAAATTAGATTATCTGCCAAAATATCAGCAACGTGTGTGGTTAAATCTCACTGATAGAAGCTCATCCAAATCAGGCCTGAAGGTACTTTACCTTATGCATACATTTAAAGTTCTGCCACTGTTTTAAAGCCATTGTATGATTTCGAACAATGTCTTTGGAGATTAAATGGGCAGTTTCACAGCAACACACAGTGTCAACTCCGTCTATGGCTTCTATTCTTTGTATCCCGGTGCTTACTTCTGCATGGGGCTGAGCTCCACTCTGACAATCAACTCTGTCTTTGCAGGCATGTTCTTGAAGACATCGGCTTTGAGCCTTCTGAGCATATGAGGGCCGAGCAGGTCGTGCAGCTTCTTGATCTGGTCCTCCTTGGAGATATCAGCAAACTCCTCCAGGAAGCCTTCAAGGTTACTGCACAGAAAACACGAAGAAGAATAAAATAATTAAATTAGGCTACAGTCAAAGAAAGATAATTTCTTGATTCTTAAAGGGATAATTCGGATCTTTTGAAGTGGGGTTGTATGAGGCACTTACCCATGGTCAGTGTATTGCATACAGCAGATGTCAGTCGTAAGTTTTAATAACTACAGTTGTGTATCTAATTTAAACCATACAGTCAAGCAACACAGATCTGTCTATCCATCAGTCAAAGGAGGGATGTGTTTAATGCCCCAGCTTGTAGAAACTGGTAAGATGGAGAAGAACAGAAAGACTGGGGACTGATAAAGATAAATAGAGGAGAGGAAGGACTTACTTGAAGCGCTCTGGGGTGAGGAAGTTAAGCAGGTGGAACAGCTCTTCCAGGTTGTTCTGAAGAGGAGTCCCAGTGAGCAGCAGCTTGTAGTAGATCTTATACCCGTTGAGAATTCTGAAAAACTAGACAGGACATGTTGTACGAGATATGACACATAAGCCTCAAATAAGAACACAATGACGCACGCACAACTTCCTGATTTACGAAACGACAGTTTTACCTCCAAAGTCACCTATAAGACATGTTTCATTTTTCATGTTGTATCAGTCTTTTTACTTCATGGATAAGTTTATGCACAAACATTTCCTGCTCGTATCTGTCTGTGTTCCTGCTCATTTCCTGTTTTTGTGTGTCCCCGATAACATCCATGCTGTTTCTGTTTCAGTCCCAGAAATGCTGTTTTTACCTTTGATTGGTTGTTTTTCAGTCTGTGGGCCTCGTCCACCACCAGGCAGGCCCAGGTGATGGAGCCCAGAATGGCTTGATCTATAGTGATCAGCTCGTAAGAGGTCAGCAGCACGTGAAACTTGATTGGAGTGTCTTTCTGCAGAGGGGCAAAAGGAAGGACAGCAACGAAATATAATAAAAGATTTTGAGCAATTCAGATGTGGCATCAAATGGTGGAGGACAGATGAGTGAGTACTACATCCACTACACTGTTTAGGATGTTAAAGAGAAAGTTCACCCCATAAACAAAATACATATTTTTCCTCTTACCTGTTGTGCTATATATCAGTCTAGATTGTTTTGGTGTGAGTTGCCAAGTGTCGGAGATATCAGCAGTAGAGATGTCTGCCTTCTCTCCAGTATAATGGAACTAGATGGCACTCAGCTTGTGGTGCTCAAAGCGCATACAAAACAAAAAACATTTTAGGAACTCAACAGCAACATCTTTTTCCAGAAATCATGACCCAGTTACTCAAGATAATCCAGAGACCTTGTTGTGAGCACATTAGCAACTATTTTCTCTCTACTGAACTACACCTGCCAACTGAATCAGCGTGCAGAAGGAGGCCTGCATCTACTGCTACTTCACCTAGCACCACTGAGCTAGCTTTCATAGCTTAGCAAAGGAGGACGCCATAGTTGTTCACATCTCGCCAAAGGTGTCGATTTAAGGGGGGACGCAGGGGAGATGTCCTAGTATTCAAAACATGTCCAAAATAAACTTAAAAGTAGCAGAAGACTTATACTGTAACGAAATTAATGACATTTCCACATAAATGGATGCAGAAAAGGCAAAAAGTGATGCATTCAAATTCACCAAAATGCATGAAATGAAATGTTTGATACCCAAAATTTTTGAGGAAGGAACCCAAACACCTCGTGTCATGTGTGCTCCCCCAATGATGAAACGAAACCCACATGCTTGCACCTCACACTGACACAAGCACAAGCCTCTCTTCTATGAGTACATGCACGTCTCCTACTTCACAGTGATAACGTTAGCATGTGTAGTTCGGTGGAAAGAAAATAGCTGCTATATGAAACTGCTCATAACAAGGTCTGTGGATTATCTTGAGTAAGCAGGTCATGATTCCTTGAAAGAGACATTGCTGTTGAGTATATATATATCAAGCTGGTCATTATACTGGAGAGAAGGCAGACGTCTCTACAGCTGATACCTCCAACACTCTGCAACTAGACTGATGAATATCACTGCAGGTAAGAAGAAAGATGTCTATTTTTGATTTGGGGGTGAACTGTCCCTTTAATCACGCAAACCCAACCCTACTTGCAGCTCAGATTCACACAGACAAAAGCAAAGTATCTGAAAACAGTATTAAACTAAGCTGTGTGAGTGTGAGGTACCTTCATCCGAAACACCTTGCGTCCCGTTTTCACCGCACTGTCTTCAAAGGTGAACTCGTTCTCTCTGATGATTGCCCGGCTGTCTTTGTCTCCAGTGTATGTCACCACGTAGAAATCTGGAGCCCACATCTCAAATTCCCTCTCCCAGTTGATGATAGTGGAGAGGGGCGCACTCACCAAGAATGGCCCCTTAGAGTGACCCTAACAGAGACAGAGGAGGAGGAAAGACATGACTAAGCAGCTCTTACATCACAGGAGGAAGATATACTTGAGGTTTTATCATTTACTTTTCTCATTGTCCGATATGTTTAATTCTCAGTCTACATTACCAATTGTACGATAAGAATAGTGTACGCCTCTTACGCTGCACTCAGACATAATAAAAGAGGACATTCTCGCACCCTCACCTCCTTGTAGAGTGAGTAGAGAAACACTATTGTCTGCACCGTCTTTCCGAGGCCCATCTCATCGGCCAGGATTGTGTCTGTGCCCTGCGCCCACGAGAACCTCAACCAGTTCAGGCCTTCAAGCTGATACGGGTGCAGTGTTCCCCCAGTGGCGTTAATGTACCACGGCTGGTGCTCAAACTTGATGGTTGGCTGGTGATATGAGAACACAGGAGCATTTTGTAAAGTGATTACATGGATTAGTGTAAAAGATGTGAGCAACATTTAGCCCAAGGTAAACAGGAATAAAAGGAACAGCACCTTTATCAAGCTGAATCATGATAATCAGCTGGCGTAGAGTCTTGTATTTCCAGAAAAAAAAACCCCAGGTAAATCATTGGATTTCTTTGCATCTAAACATCCCAACTTACATCTATGATAGGAGCATCAGGAGGGACCTCCCTCTTTGGATGGTCGTCTTTGAGTTTCTTTCCTTTCCTCACCACCAGGGGGCGTTGGTCCTCCCCTAGTATTTGCTCCCTGTCAAATAATTGCAGCAGCATAATGAGCCAAACAGTTCAAGCTGGGGGGCATCACAGAGAGAGGGCAGGGCAGAGAGGAAACAGCAGCATTTGCCTTGTTAATCTGTGAGTGCCGGGACTCGTTCTACTCATCATCACCACATTATTAGGAACAGCTATGGCTCAAATAACTTGTTAATGCTGCTAACAAACCTGTGGTCCCAGTAAGACGATTTATGACTGTCATATTCTGGGACGTCGAAGTCATCCACCTCCCAGGTGCACTGGTCGTAGGGCAGGTCTCTCCACTTGATCATGTAATGCACATCGCCATCCTTATCGAAACTACAGAAACAGAAACACAGAGTTCAGGGCTTTTATAAAAATAACTTTTTGTCATATTTGTTGAAACTGTCACTGTACACACACAGTAGGACATGAGAAAACCATGTTCCTCCCATTCCTCCTTCTCCTAATTGAATTGCTTCTAACGTCATTTGCTAGAATCCACCGAAAATCAAACTCAGAATCAGATATACTTTATTGATCCCAGAGGAGAAATAAGGAAATTATGCAAAGAACCAATCAGAGCTGAGGAGTCTCTTTCGCTGCTGTCAATCATGTCAATCACTGCTCCTTGTAGTGACTATGTATAAAGATGGACAACATGACAGCTCCTCAAATGTGAAGTTAAAACATCTCAATCATCAACCCCGCCCCCTACATGTTAGCTGATAGGACATGGACCAACTAAAAACACAAGTACACACCAAAACACTTTTTTCACACTGATGTTTGTTCAGGTGTTCTGTTTTCTGATAAGTTTACTTTTAATTACTTTCTTAACGCTGTAAAAAGGGGCTTTGACATCATGATTGACAGCTGTGTGCCAGTCGATGTGCTTGCTGTGAATCGCGCTGTTGGTGATTGGTCGGATGGCAGAAACTTGAGATTGCTACTGTGCAGGGTCTGGCTTTCGATGACATCACCAGTGCAAGATGGCAGCAGCCGTGTCCAGGATATTTTGGCTTCATTTTTGTACAGTGGGAGGAAGTAGAGACATGTCATCACATCTATATATATATATATATATATATATATATA